CATTAACATCAGACACATCATTCATGTCACATGTAACATCAACAATTGTACAATTTAATGTACAATCAAACCAAATGTTCTTTTTTTAATTAGTAACTTCTTCTATTTTCGTATTTCTTGATTTTCAATCTCACTTCATATTATATCCATTCCTTTCTGTGATATTTGGTCCTTGGTGCACTTAAATGTTTCCATGGTTTAGTGATAATTAAGAGCTGAAACGTAAATGTCATGAACTTTTGGATAAACTGTTGCTGATTTTAACAAGATCCCACCAACATTAAGATCATGTGAAAAGTGAGGACTTATTGTTGGCTACCATATTATTCTGTGTTTCAGACTAACTACCCTTGACTCCTTCCTTTGTTGTCCTCATTGTCTTTCTCTTCTCCATTCACCAGGGCCGTGAAAATTTTTCTGGCCTTAATCTTATCTTTTTCTGTACTCAGTTGCCTGATCTTTGTATAATGTGGGTAGCGTCTGACGCCAAGCCATACAAAAGGTGCTGTCGCACACAAACAATGACAAAAAAGGTAAATGTCTCTGTCTGCTTCACACACGCAGTTTGTGGACACAAAATGGAAAGACACTTTTATCTAAAGAAATAAGAGATTTACACTCGCACAACCCCTTTTAAGCCTTGTATTAGCTCTATAAACATTTCACAGCATACTTAAAAAGGGCTATTTATAATTATGCAGTCTTTGCTAAAGTATTACTACTCAAATCTATTTTTCACATTTTGTCATCTTGAAATAGCAAACCTTTATGCCTTATCCTTTATGTTATCTGGAAGGCCAGATGGTGCTAGATTTTGAAATTGAAGGTAAAGAATCCATCCATCTCAGGCAATGGAGGTGGTAGTTATGTCAGAGATTTTAGCAGCACAATTAAGAAAAACAAACTAAACAGGTGTGGCTTGTTTAGAAGAGTTAACAAGAAGACACTTCCTCTTGCTGAAAAGATATTCACATGACAGGTTAGGTTTTCATATGTCTGATAAAACTGCATAAATGGAAAGATGCAGAATAATAAAGTGGTTTCAGCACAATCATCGTTTTACCAGCAGCCAAGTTTGGTTTTTACAATTATTAAATAAACTATTAACTTCTGCCTTTACTTAACTAATCTGAAAAGAAATGTGAGACCATCTGTACAACATCCAAAGTTTTGCTCAAACTAAGTCATACAACAGGTCAACAAATCCATGGAATGAAGATGATCTTCATTGGAAATCCTAAAAAGGAAAATAATCAAAGTGTTCCAACTGACTTTAGACGTAAACTTTATCAAAATGTTATTTTGATATTTGAATTGGGTGGCATTTTTGCAGGTAAAATGTATGCAAATCTTTATTGAACTGTAGCAATGTTGCAAAAAGAATGCTTGAAAGAGTTCACATTGCAAAGGTCAAACAGAGGATGATTTCCTGACTTTATTACTCTTAGTAGACATTTTGCACACTGTTCAAACATGAATTGTACTTATTTCTTGTTATTTATTCATGCTTTGAGCTTGACATTGTGGGAAAAATACCTGAATAATGTACATCAGCAAATTATAACTTCCTTGAAGATTATATTTTTGTGGAAATTTGATGAAAACCCTCTGGGGCAGGTGCAGTTGTATAACATAATTTCTAAGCAATTTAACAAGTAGAGAACACTGCTTACTTAGAATCCCAGGACATAATCAGAAAGTATATCTGTATTCCTTAAGGAAGCACATGTGCAACACTAGTTTCATATTAAAGAAGAAATACTGAATCACTTTGGAAGCAGGAGTTCATGAGGAGTTCATAAAAGCAAGAAAGTACGTTATCTTGTTCATATTCTCTTTTAAACTCTGAAAAATAATTGTAAGCCTGTGTTTGCGCAGCCATTGGGAGAAACTGCTTCAAGTGTCTGATTGCGCTGAAGAGAACCATATAAAATTGCCTTGTGTTTTGGCTGTCAGAGAAAGAAATTAGGAAGAAAGATTATCATATTTTCATGACTACAAGTTGCTTTAGAGTATGTCGGATTAGTATGCATCAAAATAAGTAAAAATACCTGTCACACTGGACACTGGAGTATGGAGTACACTGGAATATGAGTTGCATTTACTTAGAAATTGTGAAACATGAGGGTGACCTTGTCCATGTTAATGATAGGATTTTGTCAAACTCATGGAAACTGTTGATTTTGACTTGGAAGTCTGCTAGCAGTTCCAGACTGTTACAACCCCACCCTAAAATTCCTAAAGTAAATTCTGGCACTGGGCTTTAACATAAAACTAAAAAGTAATCCGAACAGTTGAGTAACAAAAGTATAATTTATTTTACAATCCAGATAAAAACAACTACTACAGGAGAAAATAAAACACAGGGGAGCTTAAGACTTCAGGGTCTCCAAGGCCAAAATAATAAACAAAACACCCCTTTATAACTATAAAATAAAACAACCACTTGCTAAAGGAGAACTAAAGGAAAATACAAAACCTAAACTCCCTTACTAACAAAAAACAGGAGAAAACAGGTTATAACAAAAATGGCAGAGAACCCCTACCAGCTTCCACCTCTGGATAATTGTACAAAGTTGCTCACAGCAAACTTAAGACAGTTCTCACACACACACAGCTCTCAAGCAGAGTCACAGCTTATGGCCCAGGTCAAACAAAAGGAGAGGCTCTGACATCTCCAGCTTGCTGCTTATATATGGCGGCTGACGAGCCCCAACACACTTCACCTGCAGCAATCAGGCAGAGCTGAAACAGAAAACACAGAGCTCTCAAAAAAAGAGAGCCCCTAGAGGTCAGTGACCGTAACACAGACACATCGATGTCTGTTCTCTAAATCAGTGCATCATGGCCAGGCAAAGTGCACAGCATAGCGGAGATGCATACAGTGTAAATTTGGGGGCATAGAGAGGCGGCAGTGTCACATGAAGCAGTACCACAAAGACGTTTCCGCCTGCAAAGTCATTTATATCAATCTCCTTGGCAACTACTCAGGCATAGAAACATAACTTTATCATTAAGAAACCTCAGCAAGTGTCCTAACAGTTTCAAGAGGTTGCATCGATAGATAGACATCGTTAACTGGACGCGCTATGGTAGGAAAATCTGACGAGGAAGCACAGATTGTCAGAACATCGACAGCACATGTACCCAATTGTGGAGGAGCTCCTCCAGGCTGTGATTAGTTTTCTTCGCGGCTATAATCGGCAATGTATAATCCCTGGTGCATGTCCGTCAACATGGATTAATATTTAACGCATTAGTCAAACAATTCCTCATGAAGAAGACAAAAAATATGTCCAAACTATAAATTTGGGAACAACCAAACTATGAACAAAAAAGTGTGACTTATTGTTCAGAAAATATGGTACTGTCTTCATGAAATGCCTAATGCTAGGATCCTGGGATTAATTTATTATTTCCCAAATTTCATGTTTAGTTTTGCGTCAAAGTGTTCAATCTCCCTCTACTCTCAATCTCTGCTGAAAGAAGAGTACAAATCTTTAACTGTCAATCTTGTTTTTACATTAAATGCAGGAATCTAAGATAACTGATGATCTAAGTTCAGACTTGGGTACAAAGCCTTAGGGTATATATGTGTGTGTATATATATATATATTTATATATATCATGTGTGTCTACATGTTGAATGTATGTTCAGTTGAGTGTTGACAGTGACAATAAGAAGCCTAATCCAGGGGTATTTGTGTATTACTCTTATCTCCTCTCACATATTTTATCCTCAGGGTACTTAGACTGCTCTCCTGCTGCTCTTCACACAAACACACACACGCACAGGGCATGCACAGGGGAACTGGCACCCATTGACACGCAAAACACACACACACAGACGTTTATACCTTTTCTCCACAGTCAATAGTACATGAAAATCCAAGGGCGGATCGGAGAATTTTGCCACCAGCGTTATGATCGGGGGCAAAGCAGGTTCTGAGGACTGCATTTGTTGGCGTGTGTACATGAAAAGATACAGTCTCCATAAATGACTGTGTTGCTGGGATGTAGAATGTTGCCATCAGGAAATTTAAAGCATTGCTTCTTAGCCTGAGAGAAGATGACTTACCAAGCTGCAGCTAACCTTTCTTAGCTACGGCTAAGAAAGGTTCCTCGACAGTTTTTTTTATTTAATCTATAAATATATTAGCTGCCATTTCAAGTTTTCATGGGTGTCAATCACACATTGCTTTGTTGTCAACTACAAATTTAAAGCAAACTGAAAGGACTGAGCAAACTGGTGCAGGGTTTCCTCAACTACCTATTTGAAACGATTACTAAAGATCTTTGATAATGAAACCCAAGTAGAAAATATGAGAAATGAGCCTAAAGGCCACTCAGACAGCGAGAAGCCACTACTCCAAAAGCAACACATAAAGCAAAATTAGTTTGTCAATCGACTCACAGCTGTAATTCTTGAGACATGTCCTGAAGTCTATTTAAAATTTTATTATTTGTCCATGAAGACTACTGCTGCATTTTGAGTAAAAAAAAAGGCAAACTCTGACAACACCATCCCAACTGTGACGTTTTAAAGTTAGATGGAGTGGTGGTAGTCATGCTGTGTTGGGTTTTGCTGGATGAGGGCAAGTTGAACTTCACAAAATAGATGGCAGAATGAAGCAAAAACGTTATGTGGAAACATTAAGGAACGTCTAAAAACATCAGCCAGGAAGCTGAAGCTTTCACAAATGTGTCTTCCGAGCAGACAATGATTGTAGACGTACCAGAAATGACTTACAGTGACTTTAAGTGAACAGCTGCATCTACATCTGCATAACCATCACTGATACTAGTAAGCTGTGTGTGTGTGTGTGTGTGTGTGTGTGTGTGTGTGTGTGTGTGTCTTGTCCTCTCTTTCTGTCCTTTACAATACAGAAATCTATAATTCACTGTCACTGCTGGACCCCACAGCAAACCCTGCTACTTGATGTGTGTGTTCATTGTTTTCTAACATTTTCTTCCACTCTCTTTACCTTTCTCCCTACCAGGTAAATCCCAGCCTGCCTCCTCACCTCCACTAAAAGTAAGAAAATCAATACCTGTGATCTCTCTTTCTTTTGCTCTCCTTTTCTCCTGGTCTTGTTGCTTTGCTTTGCTTTGCTCTGTTGGGTTTTTAGAAAATGTGTACAAACACACATGCACATGTTGGAGAAAAATTTATGGTCTGGATATTTTAAAAGTGGTCAATTTCTGTATTATTTATGTGCTGCTGGATGTAACAAATGTGGCACACTGAACAGGCATACTCATCATTTGAATTAAACATTTTTAAAATCAACTTTCAGAAAATAAATCGGCTTTTGTTTTTCCAGCATTTGTTTTAATCATTCCAGATTGGTGAATGTCTTAATGAAACAAATACGTTGCAAAAAGCCTGAGAACAGTTTATGCAGTAATTTTACTAGAAAACAATGATTCTAAAAGTTGTTTTGTTATTCTGGGATGGTATTATGAATGATGCGTTTTGATGCAGTGTCCAAACTTTTTGCCACAGTTATGTTGATGGTACTTTGCAGGTAACAAAATTATAAATTTTATCACAACAGTCAAATATTTAGAGAAGGGTTATTTTTTACTCTGTACACAAAATAGCTTCTGAAACAAACAAACGTGTGATTTTTGGGGAAAATGATCTGCAAATTGTTTTAGATCCAAAGCATTAAAAACAGTTTTGCAGGTTTGAATGAAGGTTCTGATTAAACTTTTTTGGCAGTGTTTTTCTCATCTGTTTTGAGACAATATTAGGATTTGATTCACTCTTACTTTTAAACTGTTTTCTTTATTTAACCAAGTTAAATATGCCAATTAACTGCAGAAAGTGGTGCACTTCTTTCGAGCAATAGTCACTCGATACTTATGCTCCTACTTATTATGTAATTAAAACGAAACAAAAAAGCTCAATAATCCAAAGGTGGATACTTGGTGACATGCTCAAGATTTTTATCTTAAGGTTGCAGTTTCTCTGTAAAAAGAAAGAAAAATGCGCTGGCTAAGAAAACCGTCTCCATCTGTATGAATTGCCTGAGCTTGTGGGCCAAATATATACCATGCTTGAACTGCTTTTGATACTACATAAAATCAGTCGAGGGCCCAGAAATGTCCCCCAGATTGGCCTAAATATGTACTTCACACAGCAGGTCGCTACACTCAATTCCAGTTTGTTGCTGAAATCGTAATTTTTTGTGTGTGGGTGTTCTTACTACTAATTAAATGCAGCTGCAATCAGATGTTTGTGTTAACAGTTTATGACCCCAAAGCGACCTGCATGCGCAGAAGAAGAGCGTAGACATCGCAAAGCAGCACGCTGTTTACTGAAGTAATAATAATGGATGCCACTGTCTATGGATCAGTTTTAAAGTTGTTGAGCAGCTGACAGTTTTGGCACTAATAAAGTTAAGGGTGTCAGCACTACTTCCTTTAGCCATTGTACTTTACCACAACTCGCTTCTTCTGGTACAGAATTATGATACATGTCTCATGTCAATTAGTAAAACACAACATGACTGTTCTGACTGCAGATGCTTTGGAAACTATTGAATACGTATTGAAATTAGTATCACATATGGAAGTGGCACAAATTGGACGCTTTTTGGGGTGAAAAAAATCAGAATTGGGACACATTTGATTTGTTATGAAAGTGTGAAATTCTTGGACCTCACTGACGATACATGCTCGTACTCAAATTACTTTTAGTATTACTTTAAAAGACAGAGTTTTCCTGCAGCTTTGACAATGCGTTGGTTTTGACAGGAGAATGAATTCAGCTTTATATCAGTCTTCTCTCTGAGAACATAGTTATTTAAATAGATTTTACAGCAGTTATCTTCATCTGGTTGTGATGTGACTTGTTGTTTGCTTTATCAGATGTTTTTGTCATCCTTTCAGAGGGTGTATTATTTCAACTGTTCTTCAGTGAGTACAGATTACAAAATGGATGAAAATAGGCTTAGAGCGAACTAGGATGTATAAATTATACTGAGTAAATACCTTCATCATTCTCTCTTTCTATATTTGTTACTGATGTCAAGTTTTCAAAATTTAAATATTCATTCAAGCTCACTGAATGTTTTTGAGACTAATTGATCATATGCTGCTGGCTACTTACGTTTTTAACAAATTAATAACATGGATTTTTATGTTTATAGAACTGAAACAAACACTGAAGCAACGATCATGAACTTAAGTATATAAATGAATAAACAAATATAATTTGATATACATTAAAAAAGTAAAAATACTTTATTGGACATGTTATTGAAATGCTAAGAATTGTACTACTAAAATGCCATGAAGCTCAGTGATTAATAACATTCATTCAATAATCCTTTTAAATACGCTTGTACAAAAAGCCCCACATGTATTTCTATTGAGAATCTTTTCTACCTTTAGTCTTATTCATACAAAGGAGTTAAAGCTTAGTTCACTTTTAATCTCCTGACTGAACCTGGTCACCCGCAAAACCCAAAGAAAATGAGGATTAGTTTGACTGAAACAGCTACCTTTTTCTGTATATTTCTGGAATATTATATATTCTTTTTCCATTTGAAATATATAAAGGCCTTTATGTTAAAATAATTGGCCAGTTTAATCCTATGTTGTAGTAATATGATGAATGTGGAGAGTGGAAAATTAGTTATTTTCTTTCCAGGATCCAGGAAGTTTCGGAATGAGTCTGCCTTGATACAGACAAGAGTATAAAGACCAAATAAAGAAATGAACAATGGAGTGGAAAAAGTATTTGGATAATCTGTCAGTTGTTAATTATATTTACCTTAACTTGCAAAGAGATGACTATGGATCAGTTATAGCAACATAAGTTACTTTATTAGTAACATGTTGTTCTCTATATCCTACGGTTTGACTTCTACACTTGTTGAGTTAATCGTTTTATTTTAGCTTTTAACAGTTTTATTTTTCTACACATTTGTAAGTTTTGAAATGGTAGTACAAGTATGTACAGAAGTCCAAGCTTTTGTTGTTACATGGTAAGAAATGATTATGAGCTACTGCTGGTAATCAGGTGCATTGGATGAGATGCAAACAAAGACCCAGAAATGGGCAAAAGGAGCTGAATCTGGGCTTGGATGAAAGCTAAATTTTCCATTTCTCACTATTGTCCTTCATCAGAAACAAGAACATAACTAAACAAATATGGTTTATTTACAGAAGAAGATGCATTACACATTCAGCTGCGGGTGAGAGGTTGTGCTTTTGTTCTAACCTGGCTACATACTGAAAGCTGTGACTAACATGCTGCATGCAAACGGAGAAGCAGAGATCTTTTGTGAAATTCAAAATGGGAATCAATAACGCAAAACTATATTTGCAAGAAGTCACTGTGGAATGCATAATAATGTAATTCTGGTCCTCCTTCAGACTCAACTCTGGGCAGGGGGGAGAGGGCTGCATTCATCTACTGCAGAGATAAGACCAAGTTAGCCATGTCTGAGCTGTTCAGTGAGTTTGAAATTGTTCATTCTGGCCATTTTATCATGGCTGGCAAAGATTTCAGTTCTGACAATTGTGTACTGTTTTTGTCCAAATACCAATATGTCCACTTCAGGCATCAAACCAGCTACAGAATTATTAAATTGGCTCAAATGTCATCTGCGTATCCAGATTTTTTGTGGATTGATATTACAGTCAACAATAGTAATTTTCACATTAATATGATTTATACTGTGCAGTCTGTTGGACAGAGAAGTGTAGAGGTGATGTCACTGTCATCAAAACCGTTTCACCTGAGCGAATCAGAAGCTTAGGGAGAAGTCTTGGAGTTATGGAGATGTTAGTTTGACAAGAACTCTCCCTTTTCAGGCATTTTATTACAAACACAAAACATCCAGTAGTAATGTTTTGATACCAGGACCACTAATTATCTTCAGCAGCAGCCGAAGATAAAGTGAAATAACATCACAGTGTTTATTTTTTGAACATTTCTTAAATAAATGTCTATGGTTATCATTTGAAACTAGACTTTAATTTGAAACTACATCATGATAATTATTGAAATATGGTATTTTTTGTCCCTATTATCCAGCTGTATCACAGCAGCACTTTATCAGCACAGTTTAAAGCTGCCACTATTGATCCTGTGCCAAACAAACCAGCCAGACCTGTAGTGGACACCTCTGTAATTATTAAGTATTTAAAAGTCAAGTGGAAAAACACAAAAAATGATGTCTTCCTCCTTTCTCTGAGCTCACTACACTCAACCTTTTGACAGATGGAATGAAACGTACCATCATGTTATCCTTCTTGTAAAAATGAGCAGCTATTCCCATCCGCAGTCTCCCAACAGGGGATGGTGGTGCAGCTCAGCGGCAGAGAAGCTGTTTGATCCCTGGACCTGCAGCTTGTTGAAGTATGAGTAAGCGTAGGCAAGCACAATGGAAGTTAGAAACATCAAGCACAATTAAGCAAACTAACTGCATCAATAGAAAAAGTGGAAACAGATTGTAAAAAGAGTTGTAAAAGAAATACAAAAATAACCGTGAACATGTTGAAAGCAACAACAGCATGAGACATTAAGTGAATATTGAACACATGAAGAAAAGCTTGTGGGGGAAAAAAAAAAGTCAGGAAACCAGCTGAAATCTGTCAGTGTTTAGAAAGCATTTCATGCTAATATGTGTGAATCACAGCAACAGGAAATGCAGCATGTTGAACAATGTCCACCTGGGAGGAGAAGGCAAAATCCAGGAAGCAGTTGTTAGGCGAGAGGTGATGAACAGCCTGGATACGTCGCCAGTCCGTCACAGACAACAGTACACACACCCTCATACCTGAGAACAATTAACTTAGAAGGAACCTAGAGAATCATGCATGCACAGAGAGAACATTCAAACTCCATGCAGAAAGACCCAGGCCAGATTTCTGACTTATTATTTCTGTCTTTATTTGGCATTTAGCAAATAAAAATAACTATTCTAACTGACCTAAACCAAGATATGTTTGGTTTGAGTTAGCTTTAGACAGTGAGAAAAAAAGGTGTATTGTATTTTTATTTGGCATATTTTAAAC